ATATAGTCCACGATGAGCAGCGCTAAAATCAACCTGCGTAGTTGTCCCTCCATTGTGACATTAGAAAGTGTCACATTTATCTTGCAAGTGTACTCTTCTTCAACGTTTGCTTTACTTCCTGGATTTTTCCCACATGGAAATTCTGACCAATCAAGAGCAGCTTTCTCACACAAGGCATTTGATCTGGTCCTCTTGTAAATGCTGCCGTGAGAACACCAACCAACTCTAGGCAATTATACAACTTTGGAACAACATGAGTCCTTGATTCAGACCAGAGGAGACCACTCTAGGGCTGACAGCAGCCTCAGACCACCTGAGATAATATCTGGGGGTTTGTTCAGGCGTCTGCTCTCAGACGATCTCACAGATGGAGACTCTGGATGTGGAGGTCCTGAGCTGATTGGATGTACCGCCAAACTCACAGAAACACATTGGAGAGGTCTCGTGGTGTGACGTGAACACTGAGCACAGTCAACATGTGAACGACACGCTCCCTCTGTGTCGCTGTGTGACTGTTTGTTCAGTGTTTAATGAAGGACGTCGACCTAAAACACGAAACAGACGTGTCCCAACGCTGGTGATGATGATGATGATGATGATGCAGTGTCTCTCTGTGTTTGTCTCCCTCAGGCTGCAGGTGTCCAGACCTCACAGTGCCTTCTCTCCGGTGCCCTTCACACCTGCTTTCACCGGTAACAACACACCTGTCACTGTGTGTGTGTGTGTGTGTGTGTGTGTGTGTCTGTGTGTCTGTGTGTTTGCTGCTTTGTGTTTTCTTGTCCTTCATTCAAAATAAAATCCACCTTAAGAGACGGCTTCAGTCCGCCTTAAAACCACCTGCCTTCCTTCATGTTTAATAAAAACAATAATAATGATTTTAATAGTTCAGTTGTGTAAAATGAGCTCTGCAGTGTTTGGATGTGTCCATGTGGGGGCGCTGCTGCTTCTGATGAACACTAACACTCCTCTGCCCTAACACACTGTGTGTGTGTGTGTGTGTGTGTGTGTGTGTGTGTGTGTCCAGGTGAGACGGTGTCTCTGGTTGATGTGGATATTTCTCGGAGGGGGGTGAACTCTCTCCACCCCCCGACTCCTCCTCCTCCTCCCAGACGGAGCCTCAGTCTGCTCGGTACTCCTCTTCCTCTTCTTCTTCCTCCTCTCTCAGTTGTCACTTCCTCTGTGTGTGTGTGTGTGTTTGTGTGTTTGTGGTGTGTCCCTCTGCAGGTGAGTCTCAGGTGTGGACTCTCATGTCTCTCTGTGTCTTGTAGATGATTTCGGGGGTCCTCCTCAGCAGCACGCTCCCTTCAGTGTGGGGGCGTCCATGCAGTCGCTGCCGCCCCGCCCGCTGGCCCTGCCCCCCTCCATCAGCACCATCCAACACAGCCTGAGCCTCAACGGTAACACACACACACACACACACACACACACACACACACACACGCTGTCTGAACGTTAACGGCCTAAAAACTGTGAATGCTGACATCATTCAGTCATTCTGATGTCAGGTGATGATGTCATTGTTTTGGATACTTTCAGAGACACATCATGACATCACCTGCCAAACTGACAGCTCTGTTACTATGGTTACAAACAGTTAAAGGTCCAAACACACTAAACTGACACCAGAGAGATGACAGCAACCTCCCAACACACCTCCTGCTGTGTCACCTCACGCCATCATGTCTCGGCTGAAATGTTGCACCTGAACGCACCACAGAGACTCCAGCTGACGGCCAATCAGCTCGTCCGTTCTGCTCCTGCTGAGAGGAAATAAGTCTCCACAGCAGCAGATGGCGGTCGTCTGTATTCATGACTGAAAAAGGGAAACAGGAAGAGCGTTTTGATGCTAGTTAGCCAGTTAGCACATGAACAACACAGTCAGAGCAGATTTACCGTGCGCCAGTGAACAATAACACAAACCATCAGTTTGGCGGCGTCACTGTTGACTCACCTGATGCTTCCTGTTGATCAGACACCTTCCTGAGAGGGTTACCGAGGCCCATCCCTCTGCGTCCCGACGGTCAGCACCCCCCTCCCAGACTCGCCCCTCGCTGCCCCCTCAGTCGACCCGACGCCGGCAGCTTCGCCACCAGCCTGAGAGAACTGGAGAAGGTGGGGTCAGAGTCACACACACGAGTCATAGCTGTAGTGATGAGGGGGAGGAGCTAACCTGTGTGTGTGTGTGTGTGTGTGTGTGTGTGTGTGTGTGTTTGTGTTCAGTGTGGCTGGTACTGGGGACCGATGAACTGGGAGGACGCGGAGATGAAGCTGAAGGGAAAACCAGACGGATCGTTTCTGGTTCGAGACAGTTCGGACCCTCGATACATCCTGAGTCTGAGCTTCAGGTCGCAGGGAGTCACACACCACACGCGCATGGAGCACTACAGAGGTAACACACACACACGCACACACACTCTTATACTTCTGTCTTTGTGAGGACCCTCATTGACATAATGCGTTCCCCAGCCCTTCACCCTGACGCCGGGGTCAGACTACGTGGCACTCATTGGCGTTCACGATCCTCGCTGACGCCGTTTAACGGCCATGTTGGGCTGATACTGTGTAGTCTCAACCCGGCGTCACCTAAACCTGATTGTTCCCTGAACCCTGACACCAGGTCTGACCCCTGTAACAGGCCTTTAAAGAGAGGAACGGCCAAAATGTCCTCACTAATGTATTTATGTTGGTCCTCACTGTGTAACATGTACAGGTACCCACCAACACACACACGCGTGCACACATCTGACACACTGTGTGTGTGTGTGTGTGTGTGTGTGTGTGTGTGTGTGTGTCCTGCTGCAGGGACCTTCAGTCTGTGGTGTCACCCTAAGTTTGAGGACCGCTGTCACTCTGTGGTGGAGTTCATAGAACGAGCCATCATGCACTCCAAGAACGGAAAGTTCCTCTACTTCCTGCGCTCCAGAGTCCCTGGTAACCAGCCAATCAGCTCTCACTTGTCTGTCTGTCTCTACCTGTCTGTCTGACTACCTGTCTGTCGGTCTCCACCTGTCTGTCTGTCTGTCTGTCTGTCTGTCTCCACCTGTCTGTCTGTGTTCATCTCTCTGTCTCCACCTGTCTGTCTGTCTCCACCTGTCTGTCTTCACCTGTCTGTCTGTCTGTCTCCACCTGTCTGTCTTCATCTGTCTGTCTCCATGTGTCTGTCTGACTCTACCTGTCTGTCTGTCTCCACCTGTCTGTCTCCATCTGTCTGTCTGTCTCCACCTGTCTGTCTCCACCTGTCTGTCTTCATCTGTTTGTCTCCATCTGTCTGTCTGACTCTACCTGTCTGTCTGTCTCCACCTGTCTGTCTGTCTTCATCTGTCTGTCTCTACCTGCCTGTCTCCATCTATCTATCTGTCTGTCTGTCTTCATCTGTCTGTCTCTACCTGTCTGTCTGTCTGTCTCCACCTGTCTGTCTGACTACCTGTCTGTCGGTCTCCACCTGTCTGTCTGTCTCCACCTGTCTGTCTGTCTGTCTGTCTGTCTGTCTGTCTGTCACCATCTGTCTGTCTTCACCTGTCTGTCACCATCTGTCTGTCTCCACTTGTCTCTGTCTGTCTGTCTGTCTTCATCTGTCTGTCTGTCTGTCTCCACCTGTCTGTCTTCACCTGTCTGTCTGTCACCATCTGTCTGTCTCTACCTGTCTGTCTTCATCTGTCTGTCTGTCTGTCTCCACCTGTCTGTCTGTCTGTCTCCACCTCCAGGTTGTGTTGATGTAGTTTTTTCAGTTTCTTTTATAAAATATATTTAAATATTTAAATGTTGTTTGAAACGACTCAAATGAAACAGAAAACAACAAATGATTTTACATCGTCTTTATTTTATTGATTTATTAACTGCTGTTTAATGAAATGTTGGTACCTGTCTTCAGGTCTGCCCCCGACCCCGGTCCAGCTCCTGTACCCGGTCTCCAGGTTCAGCAGTGTTAAATCTCTGCAGCATCTCTGTCGCTTCTGCATCAGACAGCTGGTTCGGATCGACCACATCCAGGAGCTGCCGCTGCCCACGTGAGTCCACGCCACTGGCCGCATGGCAACCCTTAGTGACGTCACACCTCACCACACAATCTGAAATCATTTATGAATCTTAAAATCAAGTCTGGATTGTCAGAGAAGAAGAAATGACGAGCACAAACTTTGGTTCCTGTCCACAGTTGTAGTCGTGGGCTTCCTGTCAGCTGATGAAACATCAAAACATTAGAAACTAAATCCAACAAAAGCCACGTTTCCACAGAGCGGTCGGTTCAGTCGCACTGTTTCTGTTCCCACAGTGAAAAGTTGTGGATGGTACCAACTAGGGTTGTCACGATGCTAAAATTTCAAACCCCCCAAAATAAATAACAATCTGTCCATACAAATGTATTTATCTACAGCCCTGTTTATTTTCTGTGCTTCTGGTGAACTGGCACCATATTTTCATTGCTGATCAAATAGAGTTGGTAGTTTAGGCTCAGGAGGCTCCTGTTTCTACCTCACTGTGTGATCAGAGAACCAGGGGTTACGGGAGAAACCAAACGTTTCAGCTTCAATCTGTGACTTTACAGTTAACATAACTTTCAGACACACATAATTGTGTTGTCCTGTTAAACTAACACTGTCTGTTAATGTTACAGACGGGCAGGACTGATAAAGTTTTCTGCTTAGCTCCCACATTAACGTTACAAGTTATATTTTAGTTTGATGCTGGCGACACCAGCTGCTCAGCTGCTAGTGAGGGGAGGGGCTGTACCTGCCGTCTGCAGCGTGCTGTGTTCACTTCACTAAATATTACCAAAGAGCGCTTTTTCCTTTATCATTTTTGACCCAAACTGGCTGCTCTGATCCTCCTGCAGCCGCGCTGGCCATATTACAGCAACAGAAATGTG